TTGATGATGATGATGATGATGATGATGATGATGATGATGATGATGATGATGATGATGATGATGATGATGAAATTTCATTTTATTGCTGTTGTTGTTTGTGGTGACTAAATTGTCTTTATTATTGTACATGTATTTCTTTTTTTTTTTTTTTAGCTGTCGTGTAGTTAGTTGTTAAGTATTTCGTCTAGGCACGCAAGTGACCTGAGCTCAATTCCCGAGTGGGGAGAATATTATTTATGGAGTATCTAGGCCTTTCTGCTGGGAATGTCGCATCCTTCTCAGCCCTGGTTTACCGTGACAGACAGACTCGAAGCCCGCCTCCTAAAGGATGATTTAAATTTTGTCCGCTGTGGGCATTAAAGCAGATTTATTCTACGGGTTTTTTTTTGTGTGTGCAAGAAACTAAAATATTATTTAAGTATTTTATTTCATTAATACGTTATAATCCTTTCAATTTTTAGCTTATTAAATGACGTAATTTTTTTCCATTGTAGACTTCTTTTGTTTTTCTCGCTGTCTGTTTTATCATTTCTCTATATTTCGTGTACTGCACACATTTTCCCTAAACTTACTATCAGGAAGTACAAACCTTTTCGTTTTAAAAGCACAACAGAATATTGAAATGAGCAAATAAATCTTGATTAGTAAACCAATTAGTCTACACACTAATACACACTCTGAATGTCTCTCCAGGTGACTAGATCTATGTCGAGATTTGTTATGATACGATCAAATGTGAAAACAAAAGGAAGAGCTGTTGGTAATTGACGCGGGGGAAATAAAGCGGGGAGAAAAGCGAAAAGAAGAGCATAAATAACAATAAAAAGCATGGGAACAGATGGACAGAACAGACAAAAAAATCAAACAGGACCAACATGTGTTCACCATGAGCTTAAGAAAATAAAAAAAAGCAAAATAACAAACGAGCAAATAAAAATACAACTCAAGATAAAATCGAAAATTAATGCGAAAGCAATATTGCATTTTTCCTTTACAAATCTCAGAAATTGAATGTTTAATCAATCGAAAGCGAGGCTTAGAAGTTCAGACGACAATTTCTTCGTCTAAACAGATACGTTACGTAGGACATTTTGTGAAGAAAACTGGAAAGCTCACCCTCCCCGTCCCCCTTTCACCCTCTCCCCCCACTCTCAACAAAGAAAAAGCACACCAGAGCAAAGTTTTCACGAACGTTTCTCCCCCCACCCCCTCCCCTAAATGGGAAAA